TTCTATTTGGATTTTGGAGTCATTCAAAATTGTGTAATATATTTTATCCCGTTTCAGAATTATTTATATGTTGTTTATCTTATGTATAACTATACACTTAATATTCGAGGACTGCCAGATGATGTTTATCTAACGTATATTTATTGTATATCTAAACATATATTTGATGGGTATTAGATCGGAGTGAGTTATCCTTACTTCGTCTTCAACTTTGGAGGGTTTGGTCTCAGCTTTATTTCGCTTTGTCATTGTTCTTCTCCGCTGAGAGATAACTTTTTTTTTTTTGTATGAGAGATGAAGTTTCTTTTTTTAGGGATGAAGTTCTATGCACTACACCCAAGATATGGAGAGAGAAATGATGGTTTTTTTCTTTTTCTTTTTATTCGGTTGAGTGTAAAGATAGGATAGAAAATCACGTTTCCCGAAAACATCATGTAAGGGGATTTTAATTTTATGTAGTTATTTGGTTATTTTTTAAACTGACACCAACATCAGACTTAATTATATATAATTAACTGCACTTAGCGGATTCTCCGGCCAAACTTAACCGCAATAAATATTACTTTAATTATTAATAGCGTAATTGTGATGAAAATTTTGTGAGATCGTAAAGTTGAAATTATTTAGGGGATGGAATGTAAAGGGTGTAAATTTCTCTCTTTTTGTGGAATCCAAATCTCCAGCCCAAATTGGATTCACATTTTGGTTTTGAAATTAGGAATGCTGCCCACCTAATTTAATCTTTCGCCCAAATATGTGGCCTATATTGGGGCGAATATGGGATACCAGCTCTGTTGGTAGCAGAATATGGGGCGCTCCCATACTTTGCAGGCTGAAATTTTGTTTATTGTCACGCCGCTCACAAAAATACTCCAATATCATGAAAATAAGACATAAAAATATCATATAACGTGGATCCATCTAATAAATAAATAAGTAAAAAAATATATAAGTGAGACAAAATTAAGCATATAAAAATACGCTAATAAATATATAAAATATACACTTTTTTACCATGAAATCGAGATGCAACCCAAAATTTATCTCCTAACTGGTATGTGCTGCAAGACGAATGAAAACGCCGGCAGATGGGAAAAAGAACGGCGAGTGTTGAATCTGGCGGCAGATTCGTACCAGGACTGCAGCTTCGTCGACGGCTTCCTTCCGCCCTAACCGGTTTTTTCATGTCGGTGCAGATCGAGGGCAGGGGTGATTAATGATGAACGAGAAGCACAGATCGATATTGACGTTCACTGTGAAATCGTCGAAGCTCGACGGCGGGTGGAGGACGCGGCCGACACCGGGAGATAAAGTAGAGATGAAACTGGATTTTGTAGCAGTGTTTATCGGCAGAGAATACAGAGAGTTGTTGCGAGAGAGATGCGGCGGGCGACTGTGGCAGTAGGTGGTGGCGTGCAATATTTTCGGTGGTGAAATCCCGTGACGAAAGTTCAGATTCTCTGTGTGTGTGAGAGAGAGAGAGAGAGTGATTGTTAAATTAATAATGGTGGAGGTGGTGGGGCCCACTGGGTGGATGAATTGTATTATTTTGTGTATTGTTTGTTTTACTTTTACTAAGTGGACAAATATATAAATTTGACGGAGCATAATTCGGATCTCGCTTCGTATCCCGCTCAACGACGAAATGAAAATGTGTATGTTAAATTATTTTTGAGTTGATATTAGTTCATACTATTTTGCTAAAATTTATTGTTCTTGCTTTTTCTTGCCAAAATTTTGAGTTTTTGTTGCTTATTTATTTATCTATTTTGCTAGTAATATGTATTACATGTGATTTCCTTCAAAATATTTAATTTTCTAGTTGAATTAAAGACACCTACGTGGAAAAGGAAAAGTGACTAATTCTCTATTATGGGCAAACTTAATTTATGTGATAATGTATGTAATTGAGCTTAGAAGTAGCAGAAATGGAGGAAATAGAGAGAGTGAGGTGAGGGAGATGAGTAAAAGAGAGAGAGAGATTAGGATTATGCCAAATTCTGTTTTTCATTTCTGCAGAAATCCCTTTTACATAACAACTTAGGGGGACCACATAATTTCCCCAATAATTCCCAATATACCCTAATTTGATACTTAAAGTAAGGAATAATAAATTAGCAATACTAGGCTTCACAACTTAAATTAGCAATACTAGGCCACTTACAACTTAAATTAACTAATTAACTTCTCCTTTGGGCTCGACAACTTGAGACGGTCTTCACATGGCCCATTTACCCTTTTTGCCCAACAACGGGTCTGAATTAGGATCGTCACTCCCTTTAGTCTGTTCAATCTCGTTGGTAACCACACCCAAAACATTTTCATCCTCTTCTCCGACCAAAGCTTTTTCACCTTCTCCGGCCATAACATTCTCACCATTTCAAATCAAGCCTAAAGAATCTCCCCTAAAAATATGCACAAATGTAATTACCAAACAACGATGTTGATGAAAATAGACACTCATAATTAAGTGTAGTGTTTTGAATAAGTAATACCAAAAATATTTGAATCAATCGAGACCACCAATATTAACATAATTAATTAAAATAGACACTCATAATTAAGTGTAGTGTGTTGAATAAGTAATACCAAAAATATTTGAATCAATCAAGACAACCAATATTAACATAATTAATGACTTATTGGTTCCTAATTCTTCTCATTTGAACTCTCTCCTCTATATATATATTGAATTAATTAAGGCGTGAATTTAAACAATTCGCAAACCAGAAATCAGAGTACGGAGCAAGAAATAGCCATCAAATTTCAAACGGAAATCCATACATTCAAACATTCATCAAATACCCAGAATAAGAAAAACGTTCAAAATAGACCATCGTTCATCAAGAACCCCATCAGAAACCAAAACATAAACAGGTCACCTACCTGCATTATCCATACCAAGCAAATATAAGAGAGTACTTGATCGTTTTTCAAATCCTCGACAAAACCAACATACTGAATTGAATTATTTTTTATCAACACCAACAAGCAGATGAAATCATCTTAAAGTTTCCGGAGTTTTACTCATTTCCTCCCACGGAGAAGTATCGTTCTCATGGGCTGCATGGTCACCGGCAGTCGAAGTCCCCTGCCCGACCTGATCGGCTGTGGGTAGAAACAGCATTGGCATCACAACTGAGCCTATTATGCAAAACGCTCGAGAAATACGTCCCCCAGAACTGGGATGGAATTTCTCGCTGAAATAAGGAGAAACCGATCTGTTAGTACACCAAAAACAACAAAAAACTGAATTAGAAGAAACATGAAGAAGAGAACTGAGCAAAAAAACTCACGAAATTTAGCAATAAATTTTTTGGGGACAGTAAAATAATCTCTAACTTCCGAACTCTCAGGTCGGCAAAAGAATAAATAACTTTGTATCTACAATGATTAATTGTTTGCATTGCAAGACATTCAAACACAATTAAAGTCGACCAAAACTAAAAACAATAGTAGCAAAAGAAAGAAAAATGGATAAAAAATCCAAGCGTCGAATTATGTGAACCAAATATACTTATCCAAATTGGGTGACAACCCACATATTTCTACATTACTCTAAAGCGCACTCGTGAATGAATGATACTAGATAAATGTCATAGGAAGAATTGCTGATCATATCCTAGGTAACACGTGTACAAAGACGAGCAAAGAAAGGAAATGAACATGATTCTTAGGAAGTACCATAAACATTTTCTTCTAGAGAAAAAGGGAAAAAAAAAAGTTCTTTTCAACAAATTTAGAGATGATTCACTTGTACCTCAGTTTCTTTCAGTCGATCGACAATAGACCCGCTCTTCGATAAACGCTCACTACCAGCAAGGTCGATCGGGTTAAGTACACCTTGCACTTGTTGGTCAGTGTCTAATAACACCACAGAAGAAAACAATATTTTGTAAGTTGGAAACTTTAACTAAAATAAATTATAGTAAGTTTGAGTTAAGCAACACAAGGTATACCTTGTTAAAACCCATTATTCGCAAGGAGAAGACAAAATGACTCCTTGAAGACTGTTCATTCATTTGGGTCTTGCCTACCAACCTAAAGCTTCATAAATATAAGACATCAGTATCGTGGATCAATGACTTCTGAACTCCAATCAGAATTCCACACTAATTACAACCATTTATTAAATAACAGCAAAAGTTGCCAAGGCATAAGTGAGTGTTGCAACAATAATTCTTCAACGACTGAACCACTTCAAGGACCATCATACGGATGACAAATTCATGTAACTTCAGCTACCTGCTTCGTGCTGCTCTTTCCAAGAGGTAAGAAACCTCCTTGCTACTTCGAACATTCACAACAGTTAGATCAGAAACGTGAGTGTTTCCATTGGCTTCATGTTTGATAGCATATTTTTTTCCAGCATTTTCTGCTCGTGATGCATCCGAGCCTGTTCTATTTGTTGCCAGTAGGTCACGAATTGTTTCATTATATATCTCAAGCAAGAGAAGTTCTCCTTGTACCTGGATGTCGTACTTCCATCCTTGGGCTTGAAGAATTTGCCTCGTCTCGAATACCTGCTCTAGTGATCTTGGAATGAGACCTTTCTGATCGGGTAGTCCTGGCTTATCCATCATGGTGTGGGTCTTGCCTGAACCTGTTTGTCCATAAGCAAATATGCATACCTGACATTAAAATACATCAATATTATTAATATAAGTTGCCAGTTAGCACATATTATCAATTTTATGCAGTCAAAGCATGGCAGAAAGTGATATAATTTCAGAGCTCACTTTTCTGAAACCCCAATTCTTTCAGACCCGACTATTATTTGTGAACCCAATTGAAAATTAGAAATCAAATTGAAAGGGAACAAAAAAATGAAAAATGTAAACCCCTTCATATCATGCAATCCCCTTCATATCATGTAATCATACATTTAGCAATGGCTTTAGATTATAATACTAATCAACAAGAATGCAGATATAAATTGCTTGCAATATACCAATATCTCAAAGCAGAATGATGTTTCATAAGCAAGAAAAAGTTGATGAAGTTACTTGTTCTGCATTAACTTGTGCTGTCAACCTAACTACCAAAGGTCGATTATACAAAATGAATGAATGAAAGTCAACAAGAGTTCTGTAGGATTATGACCTTATATCCATCCATCAAGTACGCTCTAAACAAGCTGTGAGATCTCCACATAAACATCTTCCTGAGAGGCATCAGGCATGAACACTTTATCAAAGTGAAAGAAACCTTTTGACCTGATAAGATATTATCAATTAGTGGGAAAACTGGTAATGTAAAGGTTACTAATATCTAAGGAACACATCAATTTCCGACTCTTTCAACAAGTATGCTCACCATTTTGTGTCAAATCAATGCCTTGGCCCAGTGTTCCGGTTGATGTCAGAAATGATGCAACTTTAGCATCATTTTTAACACCATCATTGGACAAAAGGGGCCTCACTCTACAAAACACGATGTTCCCTTTCAACTCCTGCTCATTAACAAAAAATCATGCTCGACAGGAGAATACAATGCATGATATTGCCACATTTTAGTTTATAATATATTGTCAAAAATGATTAATGTAACTAAAAAATATGTATGCAGAAACCGATACCAGGATAGTGTTGAGCAATTTCTTGCATAGTTTCTCCCCTTCTACGATCTTTGACTCTGCATAGTAAGCAGTCGGGAGTCAAAGTCCTGGGACAAAAGACGAAGACAAAGCAAGCGGGTATTCTCCATCCGTCTCTGGGATCCAGTATTTCGTTGATCTGACATTTCTTTCTTTCCTGATCTTATTTGGGAGGCCACAAGAGAAGAGATTTCTAGTCTTGGTGAACCCTTCGCATCTGGTCTGTAACTGCTATGGTCTTACTTCCCGGGTTGATATCGATAAAGAGAAAGAGCTAGGAACTCTCTACAATTCTGTAACTCCAGAATTGTTGCCTTATGTTCCTCAAATTTAGATCTGGTCTCCATTGCCGATGTATCAGATAGCTAAATGAAGAAGCAGATACTTGCCCGTCAGTACCAAATCTAATAGTGTCATATCTGTTTAGTACGGGAATCAACAAAACCAGAAAATCAAATCAAAAGAACTTCAGTTCTTTTCTGCAAAAGCGAGTTGCTCCTATAGTCTTATCTGTTCGCTTTGAGACAAACATGTCGACTGGATAATAAACAAAGAAGATGTTATAAACTCTAAATTCATTCATGATTGTTTGTTAGGTACTGATCTGAAAAATTACCTCTAGTTCAGTTGTTATAGTTGATAGGCTGTATAACTCAGCAATGAATTTTCCAGTTCATTCTTTGTATTTTACAACTTCAGCCGATAGGTCCTGGACTTGTAGCAACTGCCGATCCCGATCATCTCGTACTTGCTGCAGATCACCTCTCAAGCTTATAACTTCGCTACTCAGTGCTTCCTTTTGTTTCATAGCCTCATCTTGGGATGCCTTTAAGATAGAAAAAGCATACTTATTAGTATAAAGATAGTATGAAGGAAAGAAAACAATCAAAATCAACAGCCAGGGTATGTCTTCAATAAATATGTAAACGGTCATGTCAAACAATTATCCATGAAGAAATAATGGAAAACAACACTGAGAAGCAAAAAGTTAAACAATGTATTAGTTTAAGTAACTGTGCTAGAACAATGCTTCAACCCAGTAAGTAACAAGCTTGTCAGTTGTCATGATGTCAATCTTTGGAAAGCATAACTATCAACTAAAGTCCCTTACCTTAACTAACATTTCAAGTATTAAATCTGGAATAAGTTGAAGATATTCACTATAAACTTAAAACATGAACTATTACTAGTCAACCCACTCACTGCACCTATTTGACCCAACATGCAAATATTTAAGTATGATATAACATGACAAAAACCAGGGTGTGAAATAAGCTAAAAAATGGTCAAAAGAAACCAAAACTTACTCTTCACGATGTAAGAGTAAGTTGCAAAGATGTATAGTGTCCCCGAAGTGTACTTAAGTTCTCTACTACTAACTATTTTTCAGGTGATGGAGTCCCGCGTGGAGCGTGGGCTGGATATGGTGGTGGTCATGAGCAATGATATTTGTGTTATGACATGTTTTGTATTGTTTGAATTATATATGCCTTAGTGTATGTTTTCGTTTATTGCCTGCTTGTCTATGATGTTTGAACCTATATTTCCTTCCGCATTCCAGAACAGTATTTCAGAATTCAGACTAGTATTTCAGAACTTCATATTAGTATTCCAGACGAGTATTTCAGGAATTCAGACTAGTATTTCAGAATTCAAACTAGTATTTCAAAATATCATACTATAATTTCAATATTTCAAACTAGTATTTCATACTAGTATTTCAGTCTATGCATACTTAAATTCTGAAATATTCATGGCGCCTTATTAGAGTAATGAATTATACTTGCATGCCTAGTAGTTTAAAGATATTAACAATTAAAGATTTAATATTAAAAATGAGTAGCATCCCGCATATTAAAGTTAAAGTATTTTCGAAAAGTAAATCAGTGTTTTGTATTTATAGCGCGGAAAATTTATTCTGATTTTAGTAAATCAAGGCGAAGTATTTTTTTTTTAATTTTATAAAAAATAATTAATTTACTATAAAATAAATTAAATAATATAATAATATATTTTATTAAAGTTAAAATAACCTTATAAAAATACTGTATAATAAACATAATACAAATTTCACTAAAAATTTATTTATAATAGAACAAAATATGTAATATATTAATATTAATAAATAGTTTGACAAATAATATGACAAATAATATCACTTAAATTATAATTTAAATATGTTCTTCAATCTTAATGAATATTTATGCATGTATTAGTAAATTTATACAAATAGTTTTGTATTTATTTATATTTTATTAATTTATATAATGATAATTTAAAAAAGTTAAATGTGCAGAGTAAAATGAGAGAAATTTGTGTTTTGTTTAACTCTACTCTAGAATAGAGTACGCTAGAGTAGAATAGATAAGGGCTGGAGATCGTAAAGTGAGATTGGACGCGAGCAAAAACCGTACTCCACTCTATAGGTAGATTTTCATTTTAGTTGAAACTTGAAATGAACTTTATTTTAAAAACACGTTTAGATTTTTGTGGTAAATATGATTTGGATTTAGTTGATTAAATTTTCTTAATCGTTGAAACTTGAGATGGGTTTTATGTTAATCGTTGATTTACCGGGATTGATTAGTGGAATGGTTTTGGATTTAGTTAATTAGAAATGGGTTTTATTTTAATCGTTGATTTACCGATATTAATTAATGGAATGGATGGTATATAGTAGTAAAATCTATGTACTACCTTATCCATATCCTTGTGTCTTTATTTTCACGTCTTTATCTAGGGTTTCTTGAGAAAACACAATAGGGTTCCTAGAAAAACACAAATGGGGCTAAAATTTATGTTCTTAGGTCTCCATTTAAGTGTTCTTGGAGAAACAAGGAGGGCCTTAATTTGCGTTTTTTTTTCAAACTCTTCATTTAGGATTCTTGGAGAAAAAAAGGGACTTAAATTTTTGTTTTTTTCATTTCTACGTACATAATGGCTTATATAAGATATTTATTATTGTTTTTCTACTTCTGTAGATTGGTATGGCCGACGGGAGGGGGAGAAGGATCTTTGCGTACACAATTTCGTCTTAGTTGGAGATTACATTATTAAACAACTTGGGTTATCGAATATTCTTAAATCTAATTAGACAGTATTACTCGCACCGATACATTCATTTTGTATCCTAAACCAATCGAAACGGGTAAAGTTAATATTTTGGGATTAACTTGATCTACGAGGAAAATGAGGTTCTGATTGTATGTTGTCGACGCGTTGCTCTTCAAAAAATAATAACTTCCTTTTCCTGGTAGATTAAGTTAATCCCAAAATATAGTCTAAGTGATTATTTGGACTATAGCTATTCGGGGTTAGGAGATGACAAATTTCCTAGCAAGCAATTTTTAGTAAAAGCAATAAAAAGACTATATAACCACGTTCCAAATAGTGGAACAGATAAAACTCTTGTTGATATCTTTGCTTACTTTGTAACAATTTTTTTCGGAAGCTGTACGGTTCTCACCAATAGTAACTTGTGTAGAAAAAACTTTAAGTTATGAATTGATTTTGTTTGTGTTGTCGGCTCCCAATGGGTTCGTTTCTTAGTAGATAGTTGGTATAGACTTTCAAACTTAGCAGGAATCAGCCAAAAAGAATTACATGTCCTATAGTTTGTCCACCTTTCCATCTTCGACAACTTTCAAAATCGAACTCAAGTTCAAAATAGAAAGAAGTTTTCTCACGTCGTTCATCGTGCGTATAGTGAACTCTCTTTCTTCACTTTCGCTTACAAGTTCCGGAATCTCAAAAGTAAACTCTCTTTCTTTGAGATTCCGGAACTTGTAGGCGAAAGTGAAGAAAGAGAGTTCACTATACGCACGATGAATGACGTGAGAAAAATTTTTTCTATTTTGAACTTGAGTTCAATGTTGAAAGTTGTCGAAGATGGAAAAGTGGACAAACTATAGGACATGTAATTCTTTTTAAGAAAGTCTGTACCAACAAACTAAGAAACGAACCCATTGGGGAGCAGACAACTCAATACAAAAGGGAATTCAGAACTTATAGTCCTTTCTACACAAGTTACTATTGGTGAGAACCATAGAGCTTCAGAAAAAATTGTTACAAATCACAAAGAGATCAGCAAAATTCTTATCTGTAGCACTATTTAGAATGCGGCTACATAGTCTGTTTACTGCTTGTGCTAAAAATTGTTTGCTAGGAAATTTGTCATCTCCTAATCCCGAATAGCTAGAGTCCAAATAATCGGATTAACTTGATCTACGAGGAAAAGGAGGATCTGATTATTTTACGGATAGCGCGCCGACAACATACGAATCTGCTCTCCAAAAAATATCAGAACCTCATTTCCTCGTAGATCAAGTTAATTCCAAAATATAAACTTTGCCCCGATTGGTTTAGGATACAAAAGATATGTATCGGTGCGAGTACAGGAATAGTATTCCTAATTAGATTTAAGAATATTCGATAACTCAAGTTGTCTAAATGTAATCTCCAACTAAGACGAAATTGTGTACGCAAAGGATCCTTCTTCTCCTCCTCCTCCCGTTGACCATACCAATCTACAGAATTAGAATAACAATAATAAATACCTTTTGAAGCCATCATGTACGTAGGAAGGAAAAAAAAACAAAAATTTAAGTCTTTTTTATCCAAGAACCCTAAATGAAGAGTTTGGAAAAAAGAAAAAAAAATACCTCCTTGTTTTTTCTCCAAAAGACCTAAGAACATAAATTTAAGCCCCATTTGTGTTTCTCTAGGAACCCTAGATTGTGTTTTCTCAAAAAAACCCTAGATAAAGACACGAATAAAGAAAGATAAGGATATGGATAAGGTAGTAAATAGATTTTAGTACTATATACCAACCATTCCACTAATCAATCCCGGTAAATCAACGATTAAAATAAAGTCCATCTCAAGTTTCAACGATTAAGAAAATCTAATCAACTAAACTCAAATCACATTTACCACAAAAATCTAAACGTGTTTTTAAAATAAACTTCATTTCATGTTTCAACTAAAATGAAAGTATCTACCACAAAAATCTAAACGTGTTTTTAAAATAAACTTCATTTCAAGTTTCAACTAAAATGAAAATATCTACCTATAGAGTGGAGTATGGTTCTTGCTCGCAACCAATCTCACTTTGTCGTCTTCAGCCCTTATTTCTACTCTAGCGTACTCTACTCTATAGTAGAGTTAACCCTTTTTAATTTATAATTTAAGTCGTAGAAAATAAACTTTTTATTTTAATTGTAGTCATATTATTTATCAAACTATTTCACATATTAATATATTACACATTTTGCTCTATAATAAATAAATATTTAGTGAAAATATGTATTATGTTTATTATAGAGTATTTTTATAAGGTTTATTTTAACTTTAATAAAATATATTTTTATATTATTTAATTTATTTAATAGTAAATTAATTATTTTTCAATAAAATTATATTAAATATATATTAAATAAAAGAATAAAGAGAAAGCAAGTGTGTACGTATATTGTTGATTGATGAGAACCAGTTTAAAAATAAAAAATGTTGTAACTGTAACACCCCGCCTAGAATTACTAAAATCAAAGTAAATTTTTCGTGTTATAAATAAAAAACACTGATTTACTTTTTTAAAATACTTTAACTTTAATTTGCGGGATGCTACTCATTTTTAGTATTAAATCTTTAATCGTTAATATTTTTAGACTACTAGGCATGATTCATTACTATAAGAAAAATATCATGAACATCTCAGGATTTAAGCACGCATAGACTGAAATTCTGCAATATTCAAATACTAGTCTAAAATTCTAAAATACTAGTTTGAAATTCTGAAATACTGAAATT